AAGGGTACAGTGTTAAGAGCATAGGGTTAAGGGTATAGGGTTAAGGGCATAGGATTAAGAGTATAGGATTAAGGGTATAGGAACAAGGATGTAGGGTTATGAGTATATGGTTAAGGGTATACAGTTACCGATAAGGAGATAAGCGTAAAGTGATAAGAGTATAAAGTATGACGTTTTTAATGCATTAAAATGCATTTTTAACAATAATGAATGTAATTACATGATAATGCAACTCAAACAATGCATTATAATACGTTGATGTTTCAATGCATTGCAATGGGTTTTTATAAAAAATGCATTATAATGCATTATTTGGGTTGCATTATCATGTAATTGCATCCATTTCATTTCTATTGAAAAATAATGCATTGCAATGTACATTATTTCTAAAAATCGGCTACATGGGCGGTACCGGTCTGAAAAAACTAGACCGGTTCCATCTCTGGTCATATTTCTTGTGCGGCTGGACAAAATCCATATTGTACTTCTCTATGATGAACAAACTAATCTATGTCTGAACGTATCGTGATCACTAGTGTATGCGTAGATAACCACCTATATTTGTAATAATGTATTATTGATGAAGAACGAAAAAGATAAGAGACGCTGACTTTTTTTTCCTTGTCACGCACGTATGCAAAACTTGCACATGTTTAGAAACCGATGCACATTATTGATCGTAAACAAGAATAGAACGAGGTTTGTAGCGCATAACCAAAATGAACAGGCGAATTGCAAGCTGGTACACTAATTTTCTTACGGTTGATTCATATCCAATTATCAATTTCATAAATAATTATATGAATTTCAAATGTATATTATCCTGGAATTCTAGTTCTTTTCTTGAAAGAACTAGTTCGCTAATTGATATATTAAACAGACCGATTTTGTGCTAGTTGTATTCTGTAATTGAACCAGTCAGTTTTTTCAATTAAGACAAGAATTTCGACCGGCTATCCTAGTCTAAAAAACTCTACCGGTACCAACTATGTGAACTTGCTCTCAAAGCAGCTATTCTGAAAACAATAACGTTCAGTCGCCGTATACCGATCTGTAGATTAGTTCATTTTTTATTTTCACGTACAAACACACGTACACATTTGAGTTGAGAGAAATCTATGTGAGGCCTATTCTCACGTCTTTGAATCCGAAATCGTCAGGGACTAGCACATTGTAGTGGAAGAGAAGAAACAATGACAGCTGAATCACCATCGGTCTTATACTGAATAACTACTGATAAAATAAAATTTGATGAGAATGGATGCCATGAGAGGAACAGTGGGTATATAGACTAGAGAAAGATGGTAAGTGAAAATCCACTCGAAGGTTCCTGAAAGAGAACATAATAAAGAGATAAACAGGACCTAATGTACAATCT